TGAAGTTCAGTGAAGAAGATTTAAACACATGGAAGTTGAATTGATGAGAGTGGTTTCTGACTCCCCCAGAAACAATTCATATGGGGATACAAGATAAGGACCAAAAAAAATAAAGCTTAGAAAATAATGCAGGACAGGGGAAGCTGGTACACAGGATACTCAGGCAATCTGTTTTTGTGCCTGATATTCCAGCTTATTAACAGTACATCCTTTCAGGGACGCCCCCTGGGTGGCTCAGTCGGGTAAGCATCTGCCTTTGGCTCAGGTCATGATCTCAGGGTCCTTGGATTGAGCCCCGCATCAGGCTCCCCCCTCAATGGGGAGCCTGCTTCTCCCTCTCTCTCTCTGCAGCTCCCCTGCTTGTGCTCTTTATCTCTCTCTTTGTCAAATAAATAAATAAAATCTTTAAAAAAAACCCAGTACTTCCTCTAAGTTTTAAAAGTGACAAATAATGCAATTACAAAATGGGTAGAGGATCTGAATAAACATTTCTCCAAAGAAGACATACAGATGACCAACAGACACATGAAAAGATGTTCAACATCACCCATCATCAGAGAAATGCAAATCAAAACCACATTGAGATACCACCTCACACTTGTCAAAATGGCTAACATCAAAAAGACAAAAAATGACAAGTGTTGGCGAGGATGTGGAGAAATAGGAACACTCGTGGACTGTTGGTGGGAATGCAAACTGGTGCAGCCACTGTGGAAAACAGTACAGAAGTTCCTTCAAAAATTAAAGTAGAAATATCATATGATCCAGTAATTCCACAACTGACTTTTTACCCAAGGAAAACAAAAACGTTAATTCAAAAAAATATATGCTCCCCTATGTGTATAGCAGCATTATTTACAACATCCAAGATATGGAAGCAGCCCAAGTGTCCGCTGATAGATGACTGGATAAAAAAGATATGGTATAAATTCAATGGAAAGCTATTCAGCTGTAAAAAAAAAAAAGAATGCTATCTTGCCATTTGCAACATCATGGGTGGACCTAGAGTGTATTATGCTAAGTGAAATAAGTCAGGCAGAGAAAGACAAATACCATATGATTTCACATATATGTGGAATCTGAGAAACAAAACAAATAAACAAAGAAATGAACAAACATAAAACAGACTTAAATACAGAGAACAACCTGAGGTTGCCGGAGAAGAGGTATATGGGGGGATGGGTGAAATAGATAAAGGGGATCGAGAGATATAAACTTTCAGTTATAAAATAAATGAGTCATAAGATGAAAAGTACAGCTTTGGGATTATAGTCAATGATATTCTAATAATGCTGTTTGGTGAGAGAGGGTAACTACACTTACCGTGGTGAGCACTGAGTAATGTATAGAGCTGTTGAATCAATATGTTGTACACCTAAAACTAGTACAACATTGTACATTAGTTATACTCCAATTTAAAAAGAAAAAAAAAACAGGTGATCTGGTTCAGATGCTAAATTAGGCAGGCACTCTATGTATGGGCAATTATAATGGATTTGTATTTTATCTTCAAAGCAAATGAAACCTTAGTAAGGTTTTATTTATTTACTTTTTATTTTTTTAAAGATTTTATTTATTTATTTGAGAGAGAGAATGAGATAGAGAGAGCATGAGAGGGAGGAGGATCAGAGGGAGAAGCAGACTCCCCGCCGAGCAGGGAGCCCGATGCGGGACTCGATCCCAGGACTCCAGGATCATGACCTGAGCCGAAGGCAGTCGCTTAACCAACTGAGCCACCCAGGCGCCCCCTTAGTAAGGTTTTAAATAGGAAAGTTACGTAATGTAATTCATGTAAAACCACATGACCCTGGGTGAATAACTGATTGCAGGAACAAAGAATAGAATGAGGTCAAGAGAGGCTCAAACAGGGGGAAAGGGGGAAGATGGTGTGGGATTAAGTCAGACTCCATTTTGTCATTCCTCATGAAATCTTTTTCCCCCCTCATGTGATGGGAAGTTTTGTCAGCGTTAAGTAGTTTAATTATAATATCAAAGTTAGTCTTTAAAAAATCATTTCGGCTGCTGTGGAGATTCATTGCTACCACTGCGGAAGCAGGGAGAGAGGTTGGAGCTGATTGTGACATTCCAACAAGAAACAATGGGCTAACAATGGAAGCGGTTTGGCATATGTGCTGGACAGAGTAGACCAGATGAACTAATGGACGCCTGTGAGGAAAGTGGACTCAAAGATGACTCCTGGATTTACTGGTTAAGCAAAGACATGGTGGTTATTTAAATAATGGGGTAGGAATGTATAGGATGTGGAGGGAAAAATGTCTTCTACTTGTAAATCTAAGTTTGGTAAGTCTTGGAACATCCAAATCAGAATGGTAAATTATATGTGCAAGCTTGGCGATCATAGGACACTGATGTGATGATCTAAATTTGGGGATTATTAGAATATAGGTGATATTTAAAATTAAATGACTATTTGCCCATAGATTGATATGAAGTTTTTGATGAAAAAAATACACTGTCAATAAACTTTCTGATGGCAAACAAATGTTGCAACTCCTGCATTTTTTTTTTTTAAAGATTTTATTTATTTATTTGACAGAGAGAGAGAGAGTGAGAGCAGGAACACAAGCAGGGGGAGTGGGAGAGAGGGATAAGCAGACTCCCTGCGGAGCAGGGAGCCCGATGCGGGGCTCGATCCCAGGATCCTGGGATCATGACCTGAGCTGAAGGCAGACGCTTAACGACTGAGCCACCCAGGCGCCCTCCTGCATTTTTTTTAATGTGAATTACGGGAAGAGTTTAGAATTCTTGGGTCATACTGTTTTTCAAAATTCTTTTAGTAGATAATGTTCTATTGTCTTTTGGGAACTGTCTTGCTGAGGAAGGGCTGAAACTAGCCTGGTTTTGCCTGGAAGGTGATGTGTTAATTCTCTTTTGAAATTGGTCAATTGTTTTCTTTATTGTAAGAGTACAAAAACCTAATCAAGATATGCTTTACAGGTGATTAAATGTAAATAACTTAATTGATATTTTGTATACAATTTCAATCTGCAGATGCATGCAGGTCTTCCTGAATCCAAGAAGGTTTCCTGTGTTTTTGTATACATTTCAATTGAATGCAGTATACTCACTTGGAGTATGGACTATGGAAAATTCATATTCCATAACTTGGCTCTCTAGCATTGATAATTGCATAGACTTTCCTTCAATTTTGTTAATTTTATCTTCCTTTGCATTTTGGGAAAGTTTACCTTTAAACCAAGTCTCCATGTCAATGACTTTGTTCCAGTATGTTTTATATTCTTTACTGATTTTAATCTATTTTTAGGCATTTTCGTATCATTATTGGCATACTTTTGCTAGCTTTTCAAGCTCTTCTATTTTTGAAGTTCATTCTATTTTCCTTTATATTCTAAAATCATTTGTTTCTTAAAATATATGCCTTCTTTGATTTTCTTCCCAAAAAGAAGGTTATTTTAACTATTTTTTAAATTTGATAGAATAAGTATCATTCAAAGGAATGTTTTTCATCTCTTTCTTTTACATATTTTTTCTTCTCATTAACTGATGCATTTATGTGTAATTTTAAGCATAATGAATATATATATATTTAAAGATTTTATTTATTTGACAGAGAGAGACAGCAAGAGCAGGAACACAGGCAGGGGCAGTGGGAGAGGGAGAAGCAGGCTTCCCGCTGAGCAGGGAGCCCAAGGTGGGGCTCGATCCCAGGACCCTGGGATCATGACCTGAGCCGAAGGCAGACGCTTAACAACTGAGCCACCCAGACGCCCTTAATTAATATATTTTTAAAATACTTCATACTAATCTATTCTTGTTTTAAAATATTTTGACCTGTCTCTCTTAGCTACCTTCTTCTGCTGATAAAGCATCTGAAACTTGGTTGGTTGACAGAGTATATTACCTACTGAGTATATAGAGTATATAACCTACTTTCTCTTATTAAAAGGGGTTGGGAGCATCATAAAACTTCATCACCACATGCACTTCCCTAAATATGTCAAACACATCGAAAACTATAATTGGTAACTTGTATGTACATCTTATACATTTAAGAAGTGCTCCTCATATTTAGACTTTTACTAATTGAAAAGTTTGTTGAAAAATTTATATGCAACTAATGAATCATTGAACACTACATAAAAAACTAATGATGTACTATATGTTGGCTAATTGAACATAATACAGGAAAAAAAGAAAAATTAGTCTAAGTGTAATCTCATGGCTATTGGGCTCTTAGCTTTATCATTCGGGTTCTGCACACTTCCTCCTTGTCTTCCTGGACTCTTTCTGCCTGACTTCGACTTCTAAATTAAGAAGGTTGAATCTTTACCAAAAATGAATGCTTAGTTCCCACTAAATTGTACAAGGCTCTCAGGAAAAGTTGTCTCCTAGTTTCCTCTTTGTAGTACTTCCGTTTTTGGATTTTATCTACTTTTTTTTCCTAATCCTTCCCAAATTCTGTTTTGTGAGATTGAGACCTTTCTTTTTCATTGAGATTTGCTCTGCTTCACATGTGTCAGTGGGGTTCATTTTGGTTTGTTTTACAGAGGGTAGAAGGTGTAGTTTTGCATTTTTGCCACCATTATTAAAGATTAAAGAAGGATTAAAGATAAATTGATACATTTATATTTTGAGGAATCTTTCAGTATTTGTGTCTAAGTTAAGAAAAGTGTTTAAAATCAGACAGATGGGTAATTTTTAAAGTATGATTGCATTTATGATATTTGCAAACCTCTTTTTCCCTTTGTCCAGGTGATTCTGTCTATTAAGTTCATTGTTCATGAAAAGGGTATGTTTATTGCTTTTCTTTCATGTGTTTTTCTATGAATAAAGACTACTAGGTGGAGCAAAGTATATTTGCACAATAAACGTGGTTGAATAATGCATAACTCTCCAACATATTGTTTTTCTATAAAATGAAATTTAATAGAGGCTATTCAATACTGTTTAATCTTCATCACTTAGTGAAAAGTTCTTTCACATTTTTGTCAAATATTTTTCCTCTTGTGTCTTTATAGTTTTCAACATATGCTTGGACAGAGAATCCTTGAATTTGGTAGAGCTAGGAAGAGCATTTGTACATTATCATTCAGAGAGCCAATGGGATACTCCTGTGTGACTCGATGCACTTCATTGGCAGCACAAAATTACTTTACCTACTACATATGCTGTAAGTAGAAGCCTTTGTTATGGTGTATGGGAGTTGTCTTATCAAGGTAATTTATTCAAAAGATGGTTAGAGCAAGAGACTAGGCTTTGGCTGTAGGGATAGTGAGAAAACAGGTGACAAGTCCTTGAGACCAATCCAACTGATGGGCGGTGTGAATGTCTATGATGATTATTTTCTTTGCATTGGGTTAGAGTAGATGCAAATGGTTTTAAAGAAGATAAAGAGGAAATGTGTGTTGCAAGGATGGTGTAAAAAATATGGGAAGACTTTGGAACAGTGGGCTTATCTGAGGACATATGAAGGTTTCTATGCTGGAAAGACAATCAAATATCCCCATTAAAGATTTGCACTGCATATAGATACTATTTATCAATTTCATTAGATTGGTTCCTCCATTATTTTTTATAATTTTTTAAAGAGTTTATTTATTTATTTATTTTTGAGAGAAAGAGCACGAGCGTGGGGAAGGGCAGAGGGAGAGCCAAGAGATAATCTCTCAAGCAGACTCCTTGCTGAGTGGGGATCTCACGTGGGGCTTGATCTCAGGACCTTGAGATAATGAACCTAAACTGAAACCAAGAGAAAACTAGGTTTGCAAATATCACAAATGACAATCATACTTTAAAAACTACCCATCTGTCTGATTTTAAACACTTTATTCTTTTTTTTCAAAGATTTTATTTATTTATTTGAGACTGAGAATGAGAAAGAGAGAGCACGAGACAGGGGAGGGTCAGAGGGAGAAGCAGACTCCCCACTGAGCAAGGAGACCGATGCAGGACTCGATCCCGGGACTCCAGGATCATGACCTGAGCCGAAGGCAGTCGCTTAACCAACTGAGACACCCAGACGCCCCTTAAACACTTTATTCTTAACTTAGACACAAATACTTAAAGATTCCTCAAAATATAAAGGTATCAATTTACCTTTAATTCTTTTTTAATAAAAAATCACTTTTCTTATGCAAATAGGGTAAATAGACACTATTGGTTTTGAGTCTAAAACAGAGTTCCTTATACAAGTGTCTTTTATAATGACGTCTAGCCTTGAGCAGGTAGGGAACAAAACCCACTCAGGAGCAAAATATACTTTAATTAACTGTGAATACTTCTCAAGGCCATCTTTAAACACTTGTACTTCATTGCAAGACAGAGAAACAGTAATTAATAAAAGAGTCTCTCTAGAAAAGAAATTAGAAATAAATTTTTGTTAAAATTGCTGGCACTGAGGACATCCAGTGTGACAGGAGTTGGCCGCCTCCATCTGCTGCTAGTCTCAGTCTTTGCTCCCAGGACACTGTTCTGAGATTGTCATGCTCCTTCCATTCAGGTAAAAAAGCAATAATCAACAACTCCATCGAGTAAATGGAAATGTGGATGGCATTCAAGATGCGTGTATAAAATGAGGAAAATCATTCTGTGCCCCTGGTCTTTTTTTTTCTTCTTTTTTTGTATTTGAGAATTGACATCTAAGGCTTATAAAGACTGCATTTTCCCAGTGATGGCTACATTGGATTTCAATTGCTCTTTTTTATCTCATTAGAAGTGGGAAAATGTGTTCATACTTACTATCTATTGTATTAATTTAGTCAACTCTGACAGTAAAATACTATTGACTTCATTAATGAATCATTGCTTATCACTCATGATAACATTTAAAGTCACACTTTATATAATTTGCCTTAAGTTACGAGAAAAATATAAAGTATAATGCTTCAGTGTGTTCTGACTTGGTTTAAAGTCTATTTTCTATTTATTTATGTATTTTAAAGTTTTTATTTATTTATTTGTCAGAGAGAGAGAGCACAAGCAGGGGAAGCAGCAGAGGGAGAGGGAGAAGCAGGCTCCCTGCTGAGCAAGGAGCCCGATGCGGGGCTCCATCCCTGGACGCTGGGATCATGACCTGAGCCGAAGGCAGATGCTTAATCGACTGAGCCACCCTGGCATCCCTTAAAATCTATTTTCTGTTGAAGAACAGTTGATCCTTCCAAAGTGAGCTGAAGTCTCTTCCTTTCTCCTTCACATTACACTCAATTGAAATGTTCTTTCGACATGTCTCAAATATAAAAGATAGAACAGAACACTAAATATGGTCACATTGCTACAGTGAGTCCAGAAAGAATTTGAAGAGTTTCAAAAAACTTAAAAGCCTACAGAGACCTTACCATAAAATCTCCAATACATATAAATTAGTTGTAAGAAGGGGAAAAAAAAAAAAAAAAGCATGGTATCCAAATATTTGCATTTTACCAAAAAAACCTCAATGATTAAATGGACTTCTTTTGTAAATCTTCCTTTTAAATGTGTTCACTGTAACTGGTGTTGTGGAAATTAATAAGAAAATTCAAGGTTCTAGAAAGAAGCGAGTTTCAGTTTTCAACATCTATTTTTTCTTTTTTTAAAAATTTTATTATATTATGTTAATCACCATACATTACATCATTAGTTTTTGATGTAGTGATCCATGATTCATTGTTTGCGTATAACTCCTTCCGTTTGACTTTTCCATATGGGCACATGGTAGAGGTAGAATACATTATGGACATTGGCACCATGTCATAAAGTGATGAAATTATCAACAGAGTAGTGACTTACTCAACATCCCATTTTTTGCCACTCCCAATATTTTACCTGAGAATGCACTTTGTTTACTCATAAGGAATTTAATTTCAATAAGACGAGAAGTGAGGAAAGTAGTGTCATGATTGGTCTGCTGTCACCAACATGGCTCAACACTGATTATGATCAGTATATTTACGAGTAAGTGGACAGTGAATGCATCCCGTGTGACCCCAGACCTGGAGTAGGAATGGATGATGACTTGTTTGAAAGGTGTGATGTTTGGAATTGGAGTTCAGAAAACCTAGACTGTTCAGTGGGTGGAAGATGGTCAACTAACCGAGGACCCTCATGGGGTAGGCTGTTCACATGGCTACTCAAGTCACCCAGGTCTTATTTTCTTATTTACTTATTTTCTACTTACTGAAAAAAAAATTTTTTTAAATTTTATTTATTTATGTTGACAGAGAGAGAGAGAGACACAGTGAGAGAGGGGACACAAGCAGGGGGAGTGGGAGAGGGAGAAGCAGGCTTCTGCGGAGCAGGGAGCCCAATGCGGGGTTCGATCCCTGCATGATCCGGGGATCATGACCTGAGCCGAAGGCAGATGCTTAACAACTGAGTTCCCCAGGCGCCCCTCTACTTACTGAAAATTTTAAAGTGTTTTCTGCATTGGGGATTTTGTACGTTATCAGTCCTTTCCCTTGGAGGTTTTCCCCACATACTCTTACTGATTGGCTCAAATACCACATCACTGGAGAAGTGTTCCTGACCACCTTCCTCCATGTAGTGTCCTACAGTTATTCTCCACCATCATGCTTGGCTTGCTCTGTATTTGCTTGTATCCGTGGGACTTGATGGTCTAGAACATAAGTTCCACGAAGGCAGAAAGGTTGTCCTTCTTGATCAGTACTCAATCCCCAACACTCAGCAGAGTGACTCGCACTCAGCTAGTCTCAAATTCTCAAGTAATTATTGATTGACAAAAACAAACTGAACACTTTTTAACCAAGAATGGATAGCAACCTAGTAGCTTTGAAATAAATACACAGGGACTGAAAAACCATGGACTTAAAGGAAGATGATTGAAGAGAATTACAAAATATAAGCAGATCAAAATCTATGAAAAAAAAATAGAATTCTTTCAAACAACTTTTCTCCCTTGACATTCCATATCCAGATGGTTTTATGGGTGAATTCTTATAAATTTAGTGGAATAAATAACTCTCATATTGTTTATACTTCTCAGCAGCACAGAGAAAAAAGATAGCTTCTCAATATATTTACAAAACCATGCTGTGCTGACAAGGATGTCACATAGAGATTATTTTACTTATAAATATTGATTCAAAGTCATAAATAAAACATTAACACATAGAACCAAATAAAATATCACATGAATAATACACCCAAACAAACAGGATTTATTTTGGCAAGGTAGGAATTATTCAGAACCAGCAAATTAACTAAATATATTTCATAACATTAGCTGGTCAAAATAAAAAAAGTACAAAAATGTTTACTGACACAGAAAAGGCATCCTTGATCCCATAGTTCCACCAAAACGTGAAAAGAGGAAGACATTCTTAGCATGATGAGAAGTGTAGACCAAACAGCAGAGTGCTTAAAGGTAAGACATAGTAAGGATGCTAATTAATAAACAGGAGGAAGATGAAGCTTTCCCTATTTTTTAAAATTTAATGGTGTCCTGAAATTTCTCACCACTTCAGTGAGACAGATAAATAATATAAAAAGTATATATTTTAAAATAATGAAAAATCAATATAACATAAACACAAAATAATTCAGTGAGTAGTCTACTTACAAAATAATCTAAATCAATAGCTTCTTCATATATAACAAAAATTAGGTCAATGAGGAAAATTTCATTTGTGATAATAAATACAATATGAAGGAAATAAACAACAAAATATACTCAATATACATAATCATGTGAAAATGTGCAGAGGGCTAAAAGAATTGAATAAATGGATAAATATAATTTTGTTTAAATGATGGCACAGCTTAAGTGACAATTTCCTTCAATTTAATTGGATATCAATGCAAACTACATAATTAAAGATTATTTAAAATTTAACTTATAAAATTATTTTTAAAAGTTCCAGTAATGCATATGAAGGAGTAATGAATTGTGTGGAATAATGATATATATTAATAGCAAAATAGCATATTTAAAATTATCCAAATTTTGTATCTCATGGCAGTTCAATTTTATATCAGTAAAAAAATTAAAATGGTGCAGGGAACATCAGCCCATGTTAGTCATTACCACAAAATAAACTCAAGATAGCAATGAGTGTTAAAGTGTAATAAGGCAATATAAACATGTTAGAAGAATATACGAGTATATACACATGTAATTTTGAGTTGAGGAAAGCATCTTTGTGATTATTCAGCAAACATGAATAACATTTCAATATTTCAAACAATATTGATAAAAAAATTTTAAATATTTGTCTAATTTACAACACAAATTTAGAAAACCAGATTTGTTTTGTTTCGGTTTTGAGTTCAGACTACATTATTTGAAGTTGTTTAATAAGTATTTTTAATATTTTAATAATTCTTTTTCCACAGACATTATTTTTCCCTTTGTTGAAAATATATGACTAGTTTTCATTAACAGATGCAATACACTCAAAATTTCTAAGTTTTGATTTTAATTCATCCTGTATAGTATTTTAAAATTATTGCATGAAAATTTAACATAGATGTCTAATGATTAGATATTGATTGTATCTCATATTTTTCTAAAAATGCTGTTTATGTTGAGTATAATAATTTTTGCACTGGATGGTTTATTCTCTTTTCTTTCTTTTTTACTTATTTTTACCACTGAATTATGTATGGGGTATATTATAAATACTCAGCAGTAAAAAGCATGTAAAATAACCACCATATAAATACATAATTATATGAGCAAGATAATTTTGAATTTCAGCTTTCATGCTGTTCCTAAACATGAGAGCTAATTTTGACTTAATATTAAAATTACCAATTAAGTGCATTCTATGACAGCTACTTTGCATAAGAGATCTCATATAATCTTCACAAAAGTGGTTTGGAGTAAGCATTAATATTAGTGTTTTATACATTTCATAGGACAGAGATTTTAAGGCACCTGAGGAATGTGGTAAACCAGGGAACCGGGGCTTGAAATTAGGTGCATCTGACCCTATTCACAAGGATTGCTAATGACACATGATGTTCATAATGTGGAGAAATGGCTGTGAGTAACTTATCACTTCATCTTAGGAGATACATAAGAATAAATAGTAAGTGTAAACTCTTACCCACTCAAACAAAAGCTGAACTGATGCTTATTGGATTTATAATGGAGGAATTTCAAGCATTTTTCACAAGGATGATCTAATCATTTTCTCAGGTCTCTTCCAACATTGAGATGTTAGATAAAAGGCAAGATACTAAGAAGTACTAAATATTTACTAAATACTAAATACTTGCACTTTTTAAATACAAGACTATATTCTCAAAATGTTTTCATAACTACAAAAATAAGAAAAAAATGCAAACTATATGTTAAAATCTTTCAAAAGAATACTATAAAAATGTCACAGTAAAATGTGATAGAGTTCTAAATGTACTGGAATTCAGTGAAGGAATATATGTTTTTAAATGTGGACAGTGATTTACTTAGGTGATATGTGCAAGTGTAAGCCTGAATTTTAGGACCAAACAGATAAGGATTGGGGTCTAGCTCAACCACTTGCCATCTTTCAACTTTGTGAAAGTTACTAGTCAACGTTCTTCCTTTAAAAAAAAAATAAACAATGGGAGCCTGCTTCTCCCTCTGCCTCTCTCTCTCTGTCTCTCATGAATAAATAAATAAAAATCTTTAAAAAATAAAAAATAAAAAAGAAGCAATAAAAAAAATTATCTGAATTCCTGATATACTCAGTGTAGTAGATTACATTATTGTTCCTAATTCTTTACTTCCCTGCCACGTAACTTGGTTGTACTTCCAACTTACGTGGAGATTGGACATGTGATTTTCTCTGACAAATGTATTAGCAAGAGACAGGGCATGAAAAAAAGAGTGGTTTAAATATGCTTGTGTTATTTTGCTTGCCCTGTCAGACTTCTACTAGTTGCTCTGAGAAGAACATGACCTAAAGACCCAGAGAGTTATTGCCCCATGTAAAAGGACACAGGAAGAGCAGTTGTGACCCCAACAGACAGTGATAAGCAAGCCCAGCCAAATTGAGACCAAATCA